TTGGAACTGGTTGATGCCCTTCTTGGGCCAGTTTTTATTCTTTCTGCTAAAAGGGTCTTCCCTTTCCTTCAGTAAACCTCTATCATGTAACTATTATAAAGAGCAAAGGTACCTCTTTTGGACCCTTTTTTTCCCCCCAAAGTTGAGCAGTTTTGGTATTTCTAATCTCCACTTGTGAAATAAGCTTCAGCATCACCCGTCTCTCCCTGTGAGGTATTCTGGCTTTCCTCGGGGTGTGTTACAGCTTTCACTTCGTTGTCACTCTCACCTCGGTAAAGTGTGGTGCTGCTTGGCAGCCGTACTTACAAGCTGAAAGAGAAAAATGGCATCTGTTCCAAGACCTGGAGGTCCCGGGCTTTGCCCTGGTGTCTTGGCTCTGGTCTTTGCTGCTTTCTTTCTGCTCTTCAGTAATTTATACTGTAATTTATACTTCTAATCAAGGTGTTGTGTTATTTTGTTGAAGTCCATATTTTACAGGTTACAAACAGTAGCTATCCAAAGGTGATTAGGTAGAAAGCTTTAGCTGATTTTTGTAAAAATTTTAGAAGACTGCTGATTGTAAAATTACTTCAGAAACTTAAGAAAAGAGCTGCTTTTGGCACCCCGGCTGAATTCAGTGCTTTGCTGACACTTGCGTGCTTTGGTGGATAGCAGGAGTCTGGTGATGGCACCTCTTGAGTACGACCCTAGCCCTTTTGGGACCGTGGTTAGTGCACCTCGTCAGAGAACCCCACGCAGCACAATGCAATGTGCTACTCATGCTACTTCTCTGCTGATGCCTTTTAAGACATTATTCCAGCTATGTTTCTGCATGGGGGGTAGCTGCTAAAATTCTTTTTTTTTTTTTTTTTAAGACTTATTCTCTTACTAGTGAATATTTATGCCCTAAATTTCAAAAAGCACCATTTTCTAGAATCAACTTGTATGCCATCTGCTCTCCTGTGGTTCAGCATTTTTTTTTTTGAGCATGGGTAAAATGGGAATTTTATACAGGATTGGCTAGACTTGTGTTTGGTGATTTACCTTGGGTTACATTCTGCATAGACAAGCCTTGTGCCTGGCAGGTGATGGAGGAGAAGGGAGCTTTTAGCCTGTTTTTGACTTTTGAAAAGGAGCTCTGTGCTCCTGCAGCAACCTGAGGTACTCATCATGGTATAAAATAACTCCTGCAGCAAGGCCATGTAGCTCTGCTTGCACAGAAACATTTAATGCAGATGAGCTACAGCAGATCAATCTAAGTGAAGAAGATTAGGAGGAGGAGAAGAGCTGCTTTTGCTCTTTGGTTTGTTCTTTTGGAGCATGTGTCAGCATTTTGTGAATAAAAACCTTCTTTATATTCCTTAATTCCTTCCTCTAGTTTGTCTGCATCTTTCACAATGCAGCTCTTGGAGGAAAAGGCATTTAAAAACAGGAATATGGTTACAAAGTCATAAGAATAGGCAGGGAAAGCAGGTGGAATATGTGTGTGTGTGTGTTCTTGTTTTGGTTGGAGTGAGGTTTCTCTTTTATTTTAGCCTTACTTTTGAAGTGAATTAGTTGAAAATATTTCTACTAACTTCCTCCTGGCATATCTAATTCAATTTACTTGTTATTGAAAGGCTGCGTGCGTAGCAGAAGATGCAAGTCCAGCTTTCTGTGGAGCTCTCTTAGACCAGCAGTTACCAGTGGGGATTCTCTGGTGCCTGATAGTGCCACTAAACCAGCCCTGCTACGTTTCTCAGCCCTGGCATTACAAGAAGTCTCGTGTCTGCCCAATCCAGTTGCACAAAATATGTAGGAGCTTAATTACTTCGAGAGCCAGATTGTGTCAAAGCTGACCGAAAATGACCAGTGAATTTAGAAGTTAATGGGAGATGGATCAATAGGCCCCTGCGCTGCAAGACCACACTTGCCTTGTTTAGTGATGGAATGAAGCTAAAATGATATCTCGATCTTCTTATCTCCTTATAAGGACAGTAAATATAATTAGCAGCTTAACTGACATTTGCCTCACAGGAAGAGGTGTATGGTGGCTATTGCAGTTTGGGATTTGGAGAAGCCTGAGCTGTTTGCTGCTGCCGAGGTGGCTTTGGTCTGGCCAGGGCCAGCAGGAGCCCGTGAGCAGGGACCTCCTTGGGTGGCCAGCTCAGCAGCAGGGGCACCCCTGCGTCCTTAGTCTTGTGCGCTAGGGACGGGTGCTTGTGCTCTGCGTATGCTCCTGTTGGCCTCTTCTCCCCTCGCTCCCTCATTCCATCTGCTGGCAGTTTGCGGCCAAGCTTGGCAGGCGGTGGAGGTCTCGAAGACCAGAATTTTCCCTGAGCTTCATGCAAACTGGGGAGTTAAGGATACTTGGAAAGCTCAGGCTGAGGTGGGAGAAAGCAGGGCAAGAAATGGAGCAGTCGGGCACCGGAGAGCTGTGTGGGAACATGTCCTGGCATTGCACCAGTCCCAGAAGAGCTTCGGAAAGAGCAGTTAGCCGGGTGGCACGAGCCCCTGGAGGACTTCATGGGTCCCAGGGCAGCAAAAGCACAGTCGCAGTTACTGTACAGAGCTGAACACGTCTGGGCAGCTGAGGCCTGGCCGCCTGCTGTTGTGTTAGTGCAGCCCTCGCTGTGGGCTGCAAGCCTATGCAGAGCAGCAGAATGAAAGGGATTTTGTGCCTGGAGCCTGCAAGCTGCAAAGTAGGAATTGCACGTTTGGCTGGTTACACTTGGGGCTGCTCAATGCATCTGAGGTGCAATTTCCAGATAGGAAGAATGCAAAAGGGAGGCCTTAGTGTTGGGAAGACTTCTCCTGCACCCCTTCAGCTAGCAGGGATTTGTTATGGAATATGATACATAGCTTTATATAAATGTGTGTATGTTTGTGTGTATATTTATACATATATCTTTCTCACAATTGTTAACAAGCTGGTACCCACACTGCTTGTGAGGTGCCTTCGAGCAAATGGGATGGCTAAAGAAGAAAAGGAGACAATTCCACTGGATCATGCTCCACTGGAGCCCAAGGCGTAGTTTGGATTAGGACGGAAAAGGAGACAATTCCACTGGATCGTGCAAGAGCCCAAGGCGTAGTTTGGATTAGGACTGTGGTATCCGATTTGCTTCTCCTTTGCAAACTGCAGAATTTGCAGGTCTTTCTTTTTTGTAATTGGAAATTTTGAAGTCTTACTTAGCTTGCACAAACAATGTAAGGAAAGAGCAATATAATACATATTTTTAAGCCTGGTAAAATGGTGGCCTAAGAAAAGACAAGAATAGAACACGTAAGGAAGTGAGTTTGGACCCCTGTGGCAAGTATCGATTGCATGTATAAATATTTCATTATTATTGACTTGGAGGTCAGCAGTGTTTTTTTTAACTTACTCTACATCAGATTCTGATGCACACATCTGAATTATCCTTATAAATAAATAATAGCCTCATATTTTTTTTTCCTGTACCTCTGACTTCATTCCCCAACCCCACTTTTTTTAATAGTACTAGCTCAGAGAGACAGTTGATTCTCTTTTCCTGAAAGCTTAAGAAATGTTAATCCTGCTTTTCAGTAGGAAGTAGAAACCTTTGCTTACAAGCGGGGAGCTTATTCACTAGGTTTTTGCAAGAGTAAGCTTTCTTTTTTTTTTGCCTATTTTCAATGGCTTTAGAAATAAAATGGCATAACCCAAGGACTAAGCGAGCTGGGCCTGTTTAGTCTGGAAAAGAGAAGTCTGAGAGGAGATTTGATCAACATGTTCAAGTACCTGAGGAGTGATTGTAGGGAGGATGGGGCCAGGCTCTTCTTCGTGTTGGCCAGTGACAGGATGAGGGGTAACAGGTGTAAGTCGAGACACAGCAAGTTCCATCTCCATGTGAAGAAGAACTTCTTTCCTGTGAGGGTGACAGAGCCCTGGAACAGGCTGCCCAGAGAGGTTGTGGAGTCTCCTTCTCTGGAGATCTTCCAAACCCGCCTGGATGCCACCCTGTGCCATGTGCTCCAGGTGTCCCTGCTGGAGCAGGGGGTTGGACTAGAGGATCTCTAGACGGCCCTTCCAACCTCAAGCACTCAGTGATTATGTGATCTTTCGAATACAGAGTGCTGTGGAGCCCCCTTCCAAGTTGCAGACCGCATAAAACAAGAGAAAGGGGCTGGCTGCTCTAAAAGCAAGAGGGTGTTACCTGGGAAGTGTATGCAACATTAACACTGTACCCGTGTGAATGATTCATAAGAAAAAGCTTCATTCATTTAAAAATATAAGCTAATTAAAAAATACTTATTTTTGACTTGAAAAGGTTATTTTCAGGGTTTTAAAAAGTGGATTTAAGCCAGTTTACACTGTTCCAATTTGTTTGGCTCTATAGACTTCTGTTCTTGGTTTTGTCTTTCTTTAATTCTGGTATAACAAAATGGTCTGTTTTCAATCAGTGATGGTAAATCTATGCAAACACTGCGCAAACATGTTAGGAGGCTTTATGCTGGGGGCTGCAGAGCTTATAGAGTGAGCAAAGGCTGGAGGGAGAGCCAGGAAGACAAAGGGCTCTCTCATGAGGGCTACTGAGGCTACAGAGAAATTTAGAGGAACCTTGTGCCTCTGCTGTCATAAAATGCTGGTGGAGTTTGGTTATAGCAAGGTCCCTGGCGACGTGCAGGAACTGCTTAGTATCTGCCAGCGCCCTGGAAAACCCAAGGTGTGCCCAGGTGGGCTGCCTGGTGCGTCTGGCAGAGCTCCCAGGGTGTTCTGTATGGCTCGATGTTGGCACGTGGCTTGGTTGGCAAAGGATCGCGTTCCTGGCCCTCGCCGCCAGCTCCATGGCACGAGAGATGGAGCGCTTGGCTTCAGTGCAGGACTGATGCTGAAGGAGGGGAAGTAACGTGGCTCCTGCGCTTGGGTTTTTAAATCATTTTGATACAAATCGACTTTATAACCTTCTCTTAGAACAGTAGGTTAGTGCTGTGCTGATATTAAAGATGAGTTTGTAGCTGGTGTTTCATTTGAATGGTTTGTGGAACTTCATGGTTTTCTAGAAAACCTCTGTTTGTGCATGAGGCTGCAGTGCTGTCCGGTGCCCGATACAACCTGGGGTAGCAGCTCTGGGATGGGAGCTGCTCAAGGGCCACGTTAGGGAACAGCTCTCGCAGGGCTCCTCCATCTTCTCAGTTTCCAAGTGGAGGAAACAGGAGCTAGTGCAGAAGGTAGAATCTGGATCATAATTCAAGTCTTTCTAGTGGGAGGATGCAGTATGGACTTAGAGATGTTTTTGTTCTCTATACAGTTAGATTTGTTTGAAAAAAATCAGTTCTGTGCTGTGAGGAAGCACAGAAGGAGGAGTAGTTGAAGGGCAGTTGCATTTAGGTTTGTTTTCTTTATCTGCAGCCTAATTTAAAAAAAAAAAAAAAACCTTAGTGAGAGGGGATGAAAGTGATCCTTTGCTATGGCTAAATATAAATCTCAGTTCTAGAACAGCTCCCAGACTCCTCAGTTCAGCTGTTTGCCTGGGTGTCTGCAGGCCTCCAAGTCACAGCTTCTCAGGTTTCTATCTAGTCAAAACTGGGCTTTAAAAGAAGTCTGACTTTCATGCTCTCTCAATTTAAGCAGCAAAAGATAAACTGTAGGTTAGGGATTTTGGCTGTGACATCCAACTATGAAAAGGCCAGAGCACTCCTCCCTGTTAAGATCTAAAACTCTTTGTGAAGGCAGAGCTGTTTGCTCGTCTTTGGAGGGCAAAAAACGAGACAGGCTTTGACGTATCAAAGGGAAACCATGAGCCAAAGGTGCCCATTTTTTCCCCCATCTTTTAAAAACTGCTGGATATATTTCTGAATATGAGAGGCACTGTGTAAATAGTTTTTTTCCTTGGTAGAGAAGTGGTGAATTCTAATAGCAGAGGCCTGGTGCCAGAAATGACAAGGTGCCAAATTTTCGGGGGAATGGTGGTGGAGGAGAGCAATACTACTTCTGCATCTTGTTTTCATTGGATGCCCAGCACTCTTGCTTTTGAGTGCATCCTTGCACTTTAATTATTGTTCACAGCTGAGATAGGGGTAACACGTGCATGTAATAACCTTTGTCCCTGTGTATTTGCAGGTCCGCTCGCCCTCTTTCCTCAGTGGAAGCTGGGGCATTACGATGTCGTCGTAGGAGTGTTGTCAGCCCGGCACAACCATGAGCTGCGCAGCGTCATCAGGGACACGTGGTTCAAGCACTTGAAACAACATCCTGCGCTGAGCCAACGGTAACCTCAGTGTTTTGTATTTCTTGAACTAAGCGAGAAACAACATGATGAGTAAACATGTTTGTTTAATGCTTTTTTTATTTCTGGGGAAAAAAAAGTCTCCTGTCTTCATTTATGAGTATCCTATACTGGGTCATTTTAAAAATCTTCTTAAGAATATATAAAATATATAAAAGTACTGCTTGTTCTGGGCTGGAAATTTTTAATATAAAGAATAAAATTGTAGTTTTTAATTGCTTACTGCTGTTCTGGGAATTACACGGAACAATACTGGGCCCCTCTAGAATGGTGATATGTCAGAATAAAGTTGGTGGGAACATGAAAAAAGAAGAAACAAAAAAAGCTTTATGGTGTGTGTCTGCTGAGACAGCCCATCGCAGAGCCCTTTTTGACAAGTGGCTCTGCTGTTGGTGCAGGGTCCGGGTGTTCTTTCACATCCAGCCTGGGAGGTGGGTTGGCAGCGACGGGGAAGCTGGAGAGCTAAATTGCAATGTGAAGGTGCTGGGAATGACTGCAGATTAAGCTGTTATATTTCCATACAGTTTTGCCATCCTCAATCGCAGATGGAAGTGAGTCAGGTTCAGGTTTTGATACTGAGTTTTTGCAATTAGATGTCATTGTTCATTAATAACATACGAGAAACGGCGCACACCATGCATAATGACTTTCCCTCTTTTGCATTGCAATGCATGGCTTGCGTGATATGCAACTTGGATTGCTTATTAATCCAGCATACTTGAAAGCAAGCACGATCATACGGCGAGAGAACCACAGAATCTTCTTGGAGTAACTTCAGCCTTAAAGTTTAGGTTTATTCCAAGCTGAACCAATTATTCCAAACACCTGCAATGTGAGTGATGAGCAGAACCCTTCCTGGCTGCTTGATTAAGCCTGAGAGTCTGAAAACAGCCATGGTTTTGCTGGGAAAGTTCTGCAGTTCACCCCCGGAAACTTTGTAATTTTTACACCTCTCTTGTACCAAAAGCCATTTCCCATTCACAAATTTTGTCTTGCTGTGCAGTTTAGAGCTGCTACGCTCATGTAAAAACCTGTCCTTTCCCTGTTTTATATGGAGTTTTGGGGGATACATAAGTTGCTAGGGAGCCCGGGCTGAACCGGAAGCCCTTGCCGTTTTTTAATGGTTCTGTCTCCTGGCTGTGGCATTGCCAAGATCAGGGCCAAAAAGAGCAACCAGTCGATTGAACACAACCCAAAGCTGAGACACTTTACTGAGAGTGAACACTGGAGTCCTTGTCCCTCCTTTGATGCTATAGCAAAGCTGAGACACTTTACTGAGAGTCCTTGTCCCTCCTTTGATGCTATATATGCTTATCATTAATGTGTTCATTAGCTTTGCATTCAGAATATTTAAGCAGTCCTGACTTGGACAGGAGGAGGCCAGGTTGCAGGATCCTGCAGTGCCAGCTCACATCTGTTTCTGCTTAGCCTGCTGGCTGTCTTGAATCCCATTTCTGGTTGCTGATCATTTCCTCTGGCCTTCATATGAAATGCAGAAAGCTCATATGGGTTTGGAACTGAGTGTGAATCCTCCATGCAGGGATTCACATAGTTACTCTGCATTGAGCCTGGTAGCTGATTTTTAAGAGGTTCAAAATGTTATTTCTGTGAAAAACAGGCTATTGTGGTTTACTGAAGGTGGAGAGAAGAGGGAAGAGAGCTGGTGTTAATAAAACCAAATTATTTTAGTGTCCTTGTGAAGTTTATAATAGGTGCGCACGGTTGTGCTGTGCCAGTGGAGGACAGAGAAGATCCCTACTCCTGCAAGCTCCTCAACATCAGTAACCCAGGTACAGAATTAACTTTTAAAAATTCTGTGGTGTGTGCTCGAAGTGAGTCAGCTTTAGGAGAACAGTTTGGAGTGCCATGGGCCAGCCATCTCTGAGGCTGCAAAGGGCTTCACGTGATTTTGCGTTCCCCTTGGTGCCATGGGAGAGGCTGTTCCCTGGAATGCGCGCTTTTTACTCTACCCCCGTGTAACAGAGCTGGAAGAATGAGAGCTGATAGTGGGGCTGAGAAGGGGTTCCTGGGCGTAAGGCAGACTTCCCTCGGGGTGATGCCTTGGGAAGAACAGTTCCCAGGCATGTGTGGCTGGCAGGGTTTGTAGGGTATGTCCTACAGAGGGAACAACTAAGAAAAATAAAACTGCGAATAATGAAATGCTGCCATGTAAAAATACTTGGTTAAAATGTTTTTTTCTCTATTTAATTTTTGCTCTTTAATTCCAAATTAAGAAACTTAGGGACCTGTTTGGCTCTTAAGGTGATGTTTTGCCTTAAGAATGGCAGTGATTCCTTTAGGTATTCTCCCAAGAATAGAAGCTACAGGGCTCGAGGAGGGGAGCCCAATTAAGTGGAGGTGAATGCAGTTTTGATACATGACTAGGTATTTAATATATTAATATACAGATACTCATGCAGTCATAATAGTGTTTTTGTCTTCTCTCTGGCTGCATCGTTCTAGTCCTTCTTGGTGGATGTGCAGGCATCGCCTGGCAGCTGCTGAAGGCATCAGACTGCTGCACCCTCTGAGGCTTTCCTTGCTGCAGCGTGCACTCCCCTGTCCTTCTCCAGGACTCAGTTTCCCTGTGCACTTGCCAGCCGAATTAAGTGATGCACTTTGTTTGTATCCAGTGCCACAAGATCTTGTCACTTTACCCTCCTCCTTTCTTCTACAGTTTTAAATCAGGAAATAGAGGCGTTCAGCCTCCCGGCGGACAAACCTTCCGTGCTCTCTGAGGACAGGATTGTCAGTGTGAACTTCCGTGTGCTTTACCCCATTGTCATTACCAGCCTTGGGGTATTTTATGAGGCCGATGGTTTGGGATTCCAGCGGAACATCACTGTAAAACTGTACCAGGCAGAGCATGAGGTAGAGTACTGTCATTAATCTTTTGCAACAGAACTAAATCTGATTTTCTCTTTGTTGTGGATTAAGTTATTTCAGAAAGGGCTATACTGTGATGATTTAGGAGAGAGCTGCTTAACTGGCAAGCATATGAATGATTTTTTTTTGCCTATTGTACTGTAAATTTTTCTTATTTCACCTCTTAAATATGCAACTGATTGTAAAAAAAGGAAAATGAAATTCACAAGTGCCATGAATGCTTTTCAAAAGAACATTAATCTCTAATACCATGATACCATTGCGGTTGTGTCTGGGGGTCTAAATAAGTATTAAGGAATTAAACATATATAACATGTTAAAATATATGTTCAGGAGGACGCACTGAGTGCTTTGAGGCAAAGAAATGCAATACAGCTGTAATTTTTTCTTAACTGTCCTCCAGCAAGATGTTTTGAGATTTCTAGAAGTTGGTATTTAGAGGTAATAGTCCAACCACCAGTGCTAACTTCTCTCCCACCCCCCATCCAGTTCAGTTCTGGATTTGGTAGGAGAGCTTAGTGCTTATGTAAAGAAAACCTGGAAGAAAAAGATCATTGAGCATGGCCATTGTGTTTTCTATATTTTATTTAACTCCACTAGTAACTTGATGGGCCAATTTCAGGAGTTCTGGTTGTGCTATAGTAGAAGGAATTTAATATTAAACTAAAAATAAAAGCTTGGTGCGGAAAGTACACTGAAGTGCACTGAACACTGCCCTGAAGTTGGTCAGGCTTCTAGCAAAACTTGCCCTCTCGCTCAATTATTGCTCACGTCTGCTGTGTCAATTTGAACCTTCAGCTCCATGAAGTCTGTAAGACCATCTGGAGAAGAATTTTTCCAGTCAGTATTGTATTGAAATGAGAAGCCTATTGTTTCTATTGTAATTAGCCCAGATTGTTGAGGTTTGCATAGTGTCACAGCACTTGCACTGATTTTGGTTGTCGTCCTTGTATGCAGGAGGCTCTCTTCAGCGCTCGCTTCAGCCCCCCGAGCTGTGGAGTGCAGGTGAACAGACTGTGGTACAAGCCAGTGGAGCAGTTCATTTTGCCTGAGGTATGTGCAGCAGCAGAGCTGGTCTTACGTTAGCTGGACAGACTCACTGATGAAGCCAGCCTTTACTCGAGCAGGCAAAAGAGAGCAAATAAAATCCTCTGGAACTTTAGTTGGCAGGATACGCTGAAGTCCAGAACCTGTTTCTTTGTCACCAGTAGTTATAAAGAAAAGCCTGAAAAATTCATTGATTAAAAAGTTTTCTTTGAGAGACAGCAATGATTTTGCTATTATGGAAAGGTTTTCAACTTTTGAGAGAAAACTGCCTCATTTTAGATTCTCCCCAGAGAATGGGACACCCCTTTCCCTCCTGCTTTTTTAGAGATTAGTATAAAATATGGCGAGGGCATAAATTTCTAAAAGCAAAAAAAAGAGCTCTCTGAGTCTGATGTTTTGAGCACAACAGAAAGATATTGCAACAACATTATTAGTTATAGCTACTGGCTAGTTACTGTCTGTTTACTGAGGGCTGCAGAGTTCTGACTAATCCCCCTGGGGCAGTGAGGACACTGTCAGTTACACTGTTTGCTCTTTGAACCATGCAAGCAAGCAAGAAATAGGACTTCAGGAAGGTTTTTAATAGGATCCATCTGTAAATTAGTGGAGGGAGTAAGTGGGACACAGAAGAGTGACACTCAGGTCTTTGAAATCAGCCACCATTCCACAGCAGTGCTGCTATTTTCTTTAAGCCCCTCGGAAACTTGGGAAAAGACCAGTGTGGGAAGTAATGACGCTGTTAAGCTTCCTGATGGTTTTGAGATAACAGTAGCAGAGCAGGGTTGTCATCTTCTCTGGAATGGGGTGCAGCCCAAAAGGAGGATCTGTGAAGGTCTAATGAGATACACAATGATCCAAAATGAGAGCTGTGGTTCAGTAGAGACCCCCAAGATACAAGAAGCTGTTCCTGCTGTTCCTTCTCTAAATATGTTGACTGTTGCTTTAGGCTGTTTCCCCTTCATTTACATATTTTTCTATATGACTAGCCCCTTGCTGCTATTTCTGTAAGTTATTTGTATGTGTGGGTTGCTTTGTTGTGGAAGAAATTATTTTTCTTTTTAATGAAAGGATGGGAGGAGAAAACAAAAAGGTCTGAGCAGAGTGCAAAAGACATATGGGGTCAATGCAATCCCCAGATTATTCCACTGTCTCTGTAAGATGCATTTGGAAATCTGCTTCTTCTAAGAGGAATCTGCAGCTGATTGACTGGTCTGTCTTCTTACACAGTTTTTACTTAGTAGTCCTCGAGACCGTTATGTTGTCAGGGGACCTTTCAAATAAGCAGAGTGCTTGCAGTAATCTATGTATATATTTTGACAGGTTTAATTTGGCATTAAACCAAATTAAAACCCACCTAGAACATTAGTTGTGTAATAATCTGCTACTGTGATGCATTAAGTCGTAGTCCTGCAAGTCTTTGAAGGCTTTGTTTTGAGACACGTTTTTGATAGCTGTAATTTCTATAAATGCTTGCCTTTTTCTTGAAGGACAGATGAGAAGTGTTTAATTTAGCGAAGGGGTCTTAGTATTCTATATATTCTATGTATTTATTTGTGTGGGCATCCCTAATCTGATACATGTCATGCTCTGAATGCCTGCAGGATAACGTGGTGTTTCTCGTGTAGATTAATGAGGTTTAAGCACAGAATGGAGTCTGCTGGGGCACCTAGGATGCTGGAGATGATTCAGGAGAGATGACGCCTGCGCATTCCTGTCACCTTGTTTGAGAGCAGTAAATTCAGTGAACAGTTTAACTGTCACAGGAGGGGCTCTGAGACGAGTCTCTGTTCTGCCCCTCAGCCTTCAGGAAGCAGCGCGTTGCAGGTATCAAGGAGCGGCTTCGTTCCCCTTGCGAGTGAAGCTCTGCCCTCTGTCCCCTCTTGGGAGCAGGAGGGCAGCACAGCCGCTGTACGGCGGCGCAGGGAAAGGGAGGAGGCCACGGCGGCCCAGAGGGAGCCCGGGGCCATCGCTGGGCTCCGCGGGCGCAGGGCAGCGCAAGGAGCAGGTCGCTGCAGCCCCATGCGGGCTCTGGTGTCCGCGGGCGTTTATGGTGACAAAAGCCAGGGCCACCTGTGCAGGGAGGAGACTTTGTGCCATGTGTGCTCTGTATTGCTGAGGAGGAACTGGAGGAACAGAGCAGCCCAGTGCTGGGAAACTTCCTTGGGGAAGGACCTGACCGGGCTGCCTTATGTCCACGCACCTGCTCAGGCTCATTGGAAACACCACTGCACTCAGCAGCAGCAAGGCTGGCATTTAAACGGGGAGGAAAACACATGATGTGCTCTCAGCTGTGCCACTAATGTGCTGCTTTCAGCATTCTTCGGCCTCAGCTTCCATTAACCTGCTTAGAAAAGAATAGCTGGGGGCCAAAGTCATCACAAAATTTGCTTACAAGTCTGTCAGCACCTTGGGAGCACCTTGTGTTCAGGCTACCCTGGAAATACCTGAGCAGGACACACAGAGTATGGCTGAAGTCAGTGTCACTGATAGTCTGTCATAAGGATTCTCAGTTTGCTCCTTACTGAGGAGTGAAAGGGCTCCCAGACTCACTGAGCAGCTTTCCCAAGGTTGTGTCCCTATCCAAGTTACAAAAATGGGATTAGAGCCAAGTCCCAAGCAGGAAAAAATGTTGGGAAGGGAGATGGCAAAATAGGGAAGCACAGAGTATGCTTTTCACTGGGCATGTTCAGGGCTCCTGCCTTTCAAAGTGTTATCAAGGCTTCTTTGGTTTTGATAGATTCGGTAATGAAACAAGCACAGGGAAAGTCCAGAGCATGCCAGTTTGCTGGAACAGACATTGGCTAGCTCCTCTATTAGACTGTAAAGCTGGAATTACAAATAATAGGCCACAGTATTCTGAAATACGCTGCTCTGACTTAAATATCGAGATCGCCACGGATGATGCAGTCTGCTCTTGGAGGAAAGCAAAGAATTTGAGCTGGGCTGAAAGCTGAGCTCGCTACTCTGTCAGTAATGAAGAGTTTCTGGAGAAGCTATCACTGTTTCTTACAAATAGTTCCAGAATATTAGCAGTGATACTACTTCCAGAAATTTCTGGAAATACTGACACTGCTCTTACTGGTACAACATGCCACTTCTTGTTCTTTTGCACATTCTCAGGAGTTTTCAGGGGGAAACTATAAAATGTGCAGTGGTTGGTCTGTTAGGCAGAGTAGCTTAAAGTTTAAATGAAATGCTTTTAAATGCAAGATCTTATGCATTAACATGCACCGACATAACTTAAATTGACAATTAAAAAGTTCTAGAGATTCACTTGTCTTTCTCCTCCTACTTGCCACGATGTGAGGCCAGGGCTCTGACTCTCCTAGTGCAGCTCGTGACAGTTTTGCTGGGGTAAAGGTGGCTCTGGTTTCCTCTGGGTTTTGCCGATGGCACGATTGAGTCTGATCTCTGATTTTGGCACATAACTGAAAAGCAGCATTTGTTTCCAAATCTGTTTTAATGTATGCTCTTTGTAATGTAGTTCTATAGTTGTTTTTTTAAAAAAGCACTTCAGTTCACCTTTAAATGCCATCTTAATGAAGCAGGTTCTATGGTTGATTTTTTAAAAAAGCACTTCACCTTTAAATGCCATCTTAATGAAGTTAAAAAGCCAAAGGCTTTTATGCTGGGCTCCTGTGAAAACTTTAATCATGTTCCTAATGCAGAGGCTCATGATTAATCTTAAAGGCATGATTACATGTTATGGAGTTTCACTGATGTCTTTCTTTTATCTGTAACTAATTTTTATTAAAGCTTTATAAGTAAATAATTAGTAAAAGATGTGTGTTTAAACTGTGCTTCAGTTAAAGCTGGCCATTTTTAAATGAAAAAAAAAGTTTGATTTTCCTCTTTTGACATTTTTTAACATCTGTGTAACTGTGTTATGCTCTCCTAACAGAGTTTTGAAGGTACCATTGTGTGGGAAAGCCAGGATCTTCAGGGCCTTGTTTCGAGAAACCTTCAGAAAGTGATAGTGAATGATGGAGGAGGGGTATTCAGAGTCACCACAGTGAGTCACCTTAAAAATTTCCTTGATTAAAATGCTGTGCCATTGTAATTAAGCCAGATTAACTCCACATTTTCATCTCAAGCTCAAAACCAGCTTTCTAAAAGTTTCAGTGGATGGTGAAACAAAGGTATATTTCAAGTATTCAGAGCTGCTCTGGTTTTGAACTCACAGTGCCACTAGTTTGTGTGAAACTTTCAAACTGCCACAGAAATTTTCAGTGAAAACATCTTTCATTATGAAAGTACCAGAAGTGCTTTATTTTTGTTTTTAGTTACCATAAAACTTTACAACTTAAATTCTCGGAGAAAAGCATTTCACTAACAAGAGATGAACTAATTTCTTTCTTTCCATTGCTCTGTTCTGATCAGGCAGGGGAAGGGTCATTGCCACATGAATTCACAGAAGGTGTGGAGGGAATAGCAGGTGGTTTCATCTACACTGTTCAGGGTAAGTCAGTAGGATGTAGCATCATACTTGCTGTTTTGATACAGTAAGGTCAGTAAAAATCATGAGGTAAAAATCATGAGATCTCTATGAGTTTAAGCAATTTAACATGTTTTATTTTAGTAGAAACAATTGATTTTTCTATTTTATTCTGCCTAATGACAATGTCCTGGTACGTTGTCTTTTTCTCTCCCTTTGTCAGCCACTCCATCTGACTTTTATTCCTTTGTCTTTTTGATAATAGAAGTAACATTTTTATCTGGACTTACTTCCCTGTCCTTGTGTTTTGTTACCAAACCCATGTTAATAATATCACTTAGTAATGCTCTCGATAAATCTTTCCATTAAATTTTTCATGTTTGTCCAGTCCTTCTACTTTTAGAGTTAGAAATACTGTGCCATAATGTTCAGTAACTGTGTACAAGCAGTGGCTGCCTACAATAGCCTGTTTTTCCACCACTACTGTTGCTATTTTATACCTATTTCAACAGGTTGTCCAGAGACCTGATAGGAGTCCTATCAGGTGACAGGGTAGTCCTGTCATCTTGTCATTTGTGTAGGAGCATAAATGAGGTGTACTAAAGCCTTTCCTTCCTACTTTTAAAAAGCTCAGGGCCCACAGGCTACCTTCACTGCTACAGAACCTCTTTAGCTTTTACCTTCAGTCAGGTGAGTGATGCAGTTCAGCA